TCTATTATATACTAAAGCATACTTTTCTCAAGCATGAAATTTATTCAACTAAGTTGCATAATTTCATAATTTACCGTGCAATATATTTATGTATATCCTTATGTTTAAATTATGTATAATACACAATTCTCTAATTTTATGAATACTTCAATTTACAGCTATTGTAATTTATTCCTGAGACACCAATAACACCCAGTATAACATTCTCAGGGAATATTCCCACTTTACCATTCATATCACTTATTACAATTATACTGTATCCCCTATGTAATAATTCTGATCTCATTCTTTATAATATCCCCACAACAACAACAAAATCAGTCAGCAGATGGTGCATTAAACACTGCTTAACACCTTCACTCTTAAAACTTTAAATTCTCTCTCAAACATCTAGAATTGCAATAAGATTAGTTATTCATAGTCCCCACACCAATTTATTCATTTACAGGTATATTCCTTCCTTACTTCTCACAATTTCTTTCACTACTGTTCCAATAACATTTACTCTACTTCCTGAAGAAATTTTTCCAAAATGGCCCCTTGAAAACATCACTTTTCTTCCTGCAATATTTCCTCTACTTGATGGCTGGAGGATAAAAAACCATGGACCTCTATAGTGTTTTCTGATTGTGCCTATGGTACCTCTACTTTTTGGCGAGTCTATCCCGCATTTCCTACAATATAGTTTGTTTAGTAATTTATTTTATTGTGCATATTTGGGACCTAGCTTTCAGGTATCTTCCTCATACACAATACCACTCATTTCCTGTCCAGAAAGTACATTTTGAGGGCTCTGAGTCGACTCCCATTAATTTATGTTTTATTGTGTCCATGCATGCAATGCAATTTTGTATTGCATGCATCTATGTATTCCTTCTATTTCAGAAATCTCTCCTACATTAAAAATAGGGGTGGCGAGTATAAAGTAGTATTCAAGATGGGACACCACAAGTGATTTGAAAAAAAAAATGAGTATTATGGTGGCATTCCTAGATTTGAAGGTTCTCATAATACACTTCAATTTTTCTGGCTGGACCTACGTTTACTCTTATGTTCACTAAACATTAAGTCGTCTGACAGTATTATTCCTAGATGGTGTCTACTCTATGAGATTTGTGTCTTGTATCCTGTATCTAGTTTTCACTTTTTTCCACATCTAAGAAGCTAGAATTTATCACTGTTGAAGATATTATATATTTGAATATATTATGTTTGATATATGCTGATTTATTATCGTCTACATAAAAAGAGATATCAAACCGAGATTTTTATTTATGTCTTATTTGCCATGAAATGGCAAATCCACTTTGCTTGTTATTAATTTGGACCTCATTTTATTGTCACATTTATCAGTTGCCTTAGTAATACCAGTATATACAGCATTTTCTTTCCTTTTAATGCTTACATGATTTTGTCCTAGTAGTCGAGTAATTGCGAAAGACAGGATAAACCTGCTCAAAATGTGTTGACCTGGTTTGTGCCATTAACTGTGGGCCATTAACTGTGGCTGAAACTCCCAACTATGTGAAAGAAATGAGCAGTTCAATACAACCTTGTGTTCATAAACAGTTATATGAAAGCCTACGTCACTACCAGCTGCTCAAATTTAATATTTAGTTCACGAATTTGTTTAGGTGGATGAATATTGGAGTTTAGTACCTAAATTCAGTATGTACATCTAATAGTTTCACTATCGCCAACATGGTGGGTATGGGGTGCATAATAAATGAACCAACAAGTGATATATGGCACGTCCTGTCTCGATAGGAGATTAAGGCAAGTACGTGATTGGTGCACTCAAGTCACGCCTCAGACCTCAACCAATCAGAATTTAAGGCATTAGGGGGCGCGACTATGCATAACAGATATTTGTTAACTGTAGTGATATATCCTGATGTGTTACAGGACTAAATTTAACGTCACTGCAGGGAGTATAAGGGTGCACGGTTACTAATTACACTTTTCAGCCTTGAGTGAGTGAGTGTGAGTGTGTGTGTGTGTGTGTGAGAGAGAGAGAGAGAGAGAGAGAGAGAGAGAGAGAGAGAGAGAGAGAGAGAGAGAGAGAGAGAGAGAGAGAGAGAGAGAGAGAGAGAGAGAGAGAGAGAGAGAGAGAGAGAGTGAGTGTGAGTGTGAGTGTGAGTGTGAGTGTGAGTGTGTGTGTGTGTGTGTGTGTGTGTGTGTGTGTGTGTGTGTGTGTGTGTGTGTGTGTGTGTGTGTGTGTGTGTGTTTGTGTGTGTAGCACATGGAACATCCCCCTTCTCAACCAACCAAGTAGCATTTACTACTAGGACTGTATCACCATCAAATCCGCTTGCAACTTCCTTTAACCTTAAGCTAACCTCTTCAGCTTCAAATGGAGTATTTTCACGTCTAGTTATGGTGACGTTTCACACTTTGAGAGACGTCGCATTAAATACTCAACTAGGTGAGCACATTTAATGCGGCGTCGCTCAAAACACATCTGCAGCCTCAGCTTGTACCTCAGCAGTGAACATTACAACTTCTGTAAACATGCCACTTGCACGTAAAATAATTACCCAAGTTAATAGCACGGTCACGAGCCGTGAAGGAATAATGGTAACGTTTCATTTGCAAACTGGCCTAGGCTAATATTGTAAATTTAACTATATGAATTGTTGTTCATCTCAGATTCCAACAACACGTTTGTTTTGTACATTGTGTGGGACAAATATTTAGTGTGTATTTACTATTTGTGCCTTCAGGATCAGGCTATTTTATTAGCTCTTTGATTCCGCTTTTCTAATCGTCGGTTGTCTAATGTACTGACTCCTGTCCAAATTTTCTCTATAATATCTACTACATATATTTTTCTCTCTCTCACACGGGTTCGATTCCTGGCCATGACAGAAACAAATGGGCAGTTTCTTTCACCCTGATGTACCCCCTTTCAGTTTACCTACAAGTTAATAGGTAACCTGTGAGTTAGACAGCTGCTATGGGCTGCTTCCTGCGGATATATGCACGTGTTAGAAATATATGTAGTAGATATAATAGAGGAAAAATAGATTGGTTAGAAATTAAGGCATGGTCCAAGAGCTAATATCTCGATTCTGCACACACAAATAGTAAGTAAATACACACACACACAGTTGATTGACAGTTGAGAGACGGGACCAAAGAGCCAGAGCTCAACCCCCGCAAGCACAACTAGGTAAGTACACACACAAATCCCCAAGCTGCCCGCAACAGCTGTAACTCCCAGGGTGTTATCTATGTGGTACTAGATGACGAGAGCCATGCCAAAGCGCTCATGAAACGTCAGTTAGTTTATTTCATTTATTATGTACCCGATACCCATCTTGTGGGTGGTAGGGAAAAGGGTTACAGAGGCACAAAATGAGCTTAGGGACTGAACCCCACAATTCATTTAGCTAAGCAAGTTACAATCTTGACGAGCTAGTTGCAAAATTCAATGCACATCGTCACATCAACAATAGGCTCGAGACTAACAAGTATAGTTTCTAAATTAAGCAACTGACATATGGAAAACTAGTGGAAAGGCGAGTGTGTTACCACTTCGCCTCGGGGACTAAGACTGTAGCCTCTGTTCACCCATTTTACATATTTCCTTTCATTCTCAGTGAATCTGTTCCACATTTCCAACCTCTGAATTTTATGTATACATGTACACATGTATTCATTTATTTTAGGACGGGGTATCTGGCTGTGTCTGGGACAGTCACTCTTTCCCCCCTCCCCACCCCTCTTCTCTACTTGGTGCGGACGGTAGAGCGACGGTCTCGCTTCATGCAGGTCGGCGTTCAATCCCCGACCGTCCAAGTGGTTGGGCACCATTCTTTTTCACAGTCCCATCCCAAATCCTTACCCTGAGCCCTTCCAAGTGCTAGATATTGTAATGGCTTGGCGCTTTGCCCCTCATAATTCCCTTCCCTCCCCCCCCCTTTTCCTCTCTTCTACAAGAAGACTTAACGTTACTGCACAGACTAATCTAGAAATGGAAAGACGAGGCTGTTGGGAACTAATGTTCAACCTTGTCACACCCAAGCGGATACTAGTCACTTATATATACGCACTTGAGTACAGGTCGAGAGAAAAAAAAAACTTGGTTTTGAGAACTTGTGGTCTAGCTCCTGAGCCCCTGTGACTGATGCTGTGTTACCTGCTCGCACGGGACGGGCAATGAGGCTTTAGTTAATAAATATTAACCTAAAGTAAAATTGTAAGGATTATAGAATACATGTTAAACTTTCGTAACTAGTTCATCCGCGCTATAACTTGACTCACTTAACCGAACATTAAAGCCTCTCAATTCCTGAGCCCATTATTGTATTCTGCAACCTTTCCATCACTGTAATAAATGAACCAAAAACATCAATACGTCACATACACAATATACTCGACTTTGAGCTTCTTCCAAACCTATAAATAAAATGTTGAAATTTGGAGTGAATTTAAACGAGCATACAGTATGGAGCCACAGACCACCGCCACTACAGATACTCTTGACAGTGACGGCTACAGTGTTTGTCGTGAGTACAGTGCGTATCCAATGCTAAGTACAATACACATTGTACTTGCGTATCCAAGTACAGTGCCAGGCTGGCATTGTACTTGGCACCAGAGACCAGGGGGGGGGGGGTCCTCGACCCCACCATCTCGCCTAATTTAATCTTATCGACCTTTCAAGCATCATGCCTCGCACTACATAGATATCAACATCATTTTTTCTGTTTAATTTGTTGTTATGCACCTAATACCCATTCTGTGAGCGTTAATGGGTAAAGGTCACATTGGTACATAATTAGCTCCAAAATGAACCCCGAAAATTCGTTTAGCTAATAGCATTAACGAACTTGTTCTATAGTTCAACATATAAATCACTACTCTATTCACAATCAACCTCTCAACGTTAGTTGTAATAGAATTACTTGTGCAATGCGAATCGCGTCTAGAGATGCATTATGAATATACGCGACAGACCACGGGATGCTGCTGGCTGCCAAGATGGAGTGACTTACCAGCAATCACAGCTCTCCTGGTGAAATGATTGCCCACACGACAGAGGAGGCTGTGAGACAGAACCCTCATCATCTTGTCTTAGCAGCACACAGGGACACACAGCACCCGTCCGTCTACACCCGTCTCCCAGACAACACTCTGGCGCCGTCCGCCCCAGCTACCGCCGACCACCGCATCGGTTCCCCATTACCAAATTCCTCTTCGTTATTTCCTCTCTATGGTTAGTGTCACTTATTTTGTTTTTTATTTTGCACAACTGTACTGTAAAGTTTTGTGGTAATGTTTAGTGTAATTAGTGAATTCCGTACATGATAGATATAACCGTTAAAAAATATAGGAGTGTGTGGCACGATGTGAGCGCCTGCGTTCCGAATCAGACGGGCATTATGTTTTTATATTTCGTTCACTTCCGGTTTACTTCGTTTCAATTGGGGAATATCGATATGTATACCGGTATTATACTTCTATAGAAATTGAATTAGAAATGCTGTCACTTAATAGCATTTGAAGAAATGCTAAAGATTTTTCTAAACGATCTGCTGTTTAAACTCACCTTAATAGGGACAGCGCCTCGACTCATCGAATAGATATAACCTAATATGAGCAAAAGCTACAAAAGCTATAGTATCTATGGAAGGTTTCTAGAGTGCGTTTACCGCCACCAAATAGGACTTTACCGACGCCATATTGGAGCACTAAGTTTTACAGCTCCATAAGTCAGCCTATTCTCCTATTTTGGTAGTACTTGTGGTAACGAGGAGGACCATAGTATATATATACCGACGTACAACGCAATTAGAAATCGGCACTATTGAGTTGGTGATTGATGCTTTCTTTATTATGCACCCTATACTCATCCCATGGGCGGTGGTGGAAAGGGTTACAGAGGCACATAATGGGTTCAGGAACTGAACTCTATAGTTCATTTGTTCTGCCCGAAACGCTTTGCGTAATAGTGGCTTTAGGCATTGTATGTACTAGCTCTATCTAGAAAGCCAACAAACTTTGTAAAATCTCTTTATGTATGTACCTTTACCTAAATAAAAATTATTATTATTATATTATTATTCATTTAGCTAAGCAAGTGACACTTTTGAATTTGCCTAATAAGCAAAGTTTTCCTGAATTTATTTATTTTTCAAATTCTTTTTTTTTATGAAATGATAAAAGCTATCCATTTCATTATGTATGAGTGTATGTTCAAATAAACCAATTGGAAATAATTTGTACGACATATATATATGTCGTACCTAGTAGCCAGAACGCACTTCTCAGCCTACTATGCAAGGCCCAATTTGCCTAATAAGCCAAGTTTTCATGAATTAACTGTTTTTCGACTACCTAACCTAACCTAACTTTTTCGGCTACCTAACCTAACCTACCTTACCTTGAGGTGCTTCCGGGGCTTAGTGTCCCCGCGGCCCGGTCGTCGACCAGGCCTCCTGGTTGCTGGACTGATCAACCAGGCTGTTGGACGCGGCTGCTCGCAGCCTGACGTATGAGTCATAGCCTGGTTGATCAGGTATCCTTTGGAGGTGCTTATCCAGTTCTCTCTTGAACACTGTGAGAGGTCGGCCAGTTATGCCCCTTATGTGTAGTGGAAGCGTGTTGAACAGTCTCGGGCCTTTGATGTTGATAGAGTTCTCTCTCAGAGTACCTGTAAGCTACAGAGTACCTGTAACCTAACCTATAAAGATAGGTTAGGTAGGGTTGGTTAGGTTCAGTCATATATCTACGTTAATTTTAACTCCAATAAAAAAAATTGACCTCATACATAATGAAATGGGTAGCTTTATCATTTCATAAGAAAAAAATTAGAGAAAATATATTATTTCTGGAAAACTTTGCTTATTAGGCAAATCGGGCCCTGCATAGTAGGCCGAGAAGTACGTTCTGGCTACTAGGTACGACATATATATATATATATATATATATATATATATATATATATATATGTCGTACCTAGTAGCCAGAACGCACTTCTCAGCCTACTATGCAAGGCCCGATTTGCCTAATAAGCCAAGTTTTCATGAATTAATGTTTTTTCGACTACCTAACATACCTAACCTAACCTAACCTAACTTTTTCTGCTACCTAACCGAACCTAACCTATAAAGATAGGTTAGGTTAGGTTAGGTAGGGTTGGTTAGGTTCGGTCATATATCAACGTTAATTTTAACTCCGTTAAAAAAAATTGACCTCATACATAATGAAATGGGTAGCTTTATCATTTCATAAGAAAAAAATTAGAGAAAATATAATAATTCATGAAAACTTGGCTTATTAGGCAAATCGGGCCTTGCATAGTAGGCTGAGAAGTGCGTTCTGGCTACTAGGTACGACATATATATATATATATATATATATATATGTATATATATATATTAGTATATTTTGGTAGCAGTCTTTCCTGTAGACATATATTATTAAATATGACCGAAAAAGTAAGGTTAATAATTCTAACACGAATTTTCTCAATCTTTCGTACATTTCTTTTCACTGTTGGAGGTAAATCAAAAATCAATTCTCCAAAATTCATTTTTATTTCTAGTCTGACGCGACACGAGCGCGTTTCGTAAAACTTATTACATTTTCAAAGACTCTAGTTTACAAATACACAACTGAATAGAACTTACGCATCTCCGATTTTATATCTATATTTGAGTGAGGTGGATGGGGTGAGGTGGCATTAATAGGGTATTAATTTCATCAACACAAGACAGAACAAGGGGTGGCATTAATAGGGTATTAATTTCATCAACACAAGACAGAACACGAAACAATGGGTATTGAATAGAAGTGTTTGTAGAAAGCCTATTGGTCCATATTTCTTGATGCTTCTATATTGGAGCGGAGTCTTGAGGTGGGTAGAATATAGTTGTGCATTAATTGGCTGTTGATTGCTGGTGTTGACTTCTTGATGTGTAGTGCCTCGCAAACGTCAAGCCGCCTGCTATCGCTGTATCTATCGATGATTTCTGTGTTGTTTACTAGGATTTCTCTGGCGATGGTTTGGTTGTGGGAAGAGATTATATGTTCCTTAATGGAGCCTTGTTGCTTATGCATCGTTAAACGCCTAGAAAGAGATGTTGTTGTCTTGCCTATATACTGGGTTTTTTGGAGCTTACAGTCCCCAAGAGGGCATTTGAAGGCATAGACGACGTTAGTCTCTTTTAAAGCGTTCTGTTTTGTGTCTGGAGAGTTTCTCATGAGTAGGCTGGCCGTTTTTCTGGTTTTATAGTAAATCGTCAGTTGTATCCTCTGATTTTTGTCTGTAGGGATAACGTTTCTATTAACAATATCTTTCAGGACCCTTTCCTCCGTTTTATGAGCTGTGGAAAAGAAGTTCCTGTAAAATAGTCTAATAGGGGGTATAGGTGTTGTGTTAGTTGTCTCTTCAGAGGTTGCATGGCGTTTCACTTTCCTTCTTATGATTTCTTATGATCTTTCTAGGCGTTTAACGATGCATAAGCAACAGGGCTCCATTAAGGAACATATAATCTCTTCCCACAACCAAACCATCGCCAGAGAAATCCTAGTAAACAACACAGAAATCATCGATAGATACAGCGATAGCAGGCGGCTTGACGTTTGCGAGGCACTACACATCAAGAAGTCAACACCAGCAATCAACAGCCAATTAATGCACAACTATATTCTACCCACCTCAAGACTCCGCTCCAATATAGAAGCATCAAGAAATATGGACCAATAGGCTTTCTACAAACACTTCTATTCAATACCCATTGTTCGTGTTCTGTCTTGTGTTGATGAAATTAATACCCTATTAATGCCACCCCTTGTTCTGTCTTGTGTTGATGAAATTAATACCCTATTAATGCCACCTCACCCCATCCACCTCACTCAAATGTAGATATAAAATCGGAGATGCGTAAGTTCTATTCAGTTGTGTATTTGTAAACTAGAGTCTTTGAAAATGTAATAAGTTTTACGAAACGCGCTCGTGTCGCGTCAGACTAGAAATAAAAATGAATTTTGGAGAATTGATTTTTGATTTACCTCCAACAGTGAAAAGAAATGTACGAAAGATTGAGAAAATTCATGTTAGAATTATTAATCTTACTTTTTCGGTCATATTTAATAATATATATATATATATATATATATATATATATATATATATATATATATATATATATATATATATATATATATATATATATATTTTTAGTGAGGTGGATGGGGTGAGGTGGTATTAATAGGGTATTAATTTCATCAACATTAATTAATATATATATATATATATATATATATATATATATATATATATATATATATATATATATATATATGGTTTACTTCCTCTCATATATATCTTCCTCTTACACACACACACACATATATATATATATATATATATATATATATATATATATATATATATATATATATATATATATATATGTCGTACCTAGTAGCCAGAACGCACTTCTCAGCCTACTTTGCAAGGCCCGATTTGCCTAATAAGCCAAGTTTTCCTGAATTAATATATTTTCTCTATTTTTTTTCTTATGAACTGATAAAGCTACCCATTTCATTATGTATGAGGTCAATTTTATTTTATTGGAGGTAAAATTAATGTAGATATATGACCGAACCTAACCAACCCTACCTAACCTAACCTAACCTATCTTTATAAGTTAGGTTAGGTAAGGTAGCCGAAAAAGTTAGGTTAGGTTAAGTTAGGTTGTCGAAAAAACATTAATTCATGAAAACTTGGCTTATTAGGCAAATCGGGCCTTGCATAGTAGGCTTAGAAGTGCGTTCTGGGTACTAGGTACGACATATATATATATATATATATATATATATATATATATATATATATATATATATATATATATATATATATATATATATATATATATATATATATATATATATAATACTTAATTGCAATCCATGAATTAAGCTTTCAGAGAATACATGTCTGAAAGCATGAAACATCTAAAACTTTTCCTTGATAGGTGTAATATAGAACTCATGAGCACCACACCAGAAATAAGTCTCTCTTTGATATCCCCCAGAATCAGACTAAATCTATGCAGACACTCCATGCAAATAAAAGGGCCTAGTCTTTAGAGTTCACTCCCAGATGAATTAGTCGTATGTATTTTGTTTTGTTATTCCTGAACG